AAAGCACATTTCACAACAGCTCTCGGCAGGGTTCCTGGGGAGGGTGATAGCAAAGCTGAGATACTGGCAGGGGGTCAGGGCGAAAGACCTTGGAGAAACTTATCTGCAGGGCTGAGCGTATGGAGGTTCCCCCTCTCTGTCCATTCATCCTGCCCACTGGGCATCAGACACTTGGAGAGTCCGCAAGCAGGGCCGGGAAGTAAAAATAAAATACCGCTCCACTTGCCTGACCTGCCAGCAACTGGTAATCGGGGATAGAGTGCCTTTGAACGCTGAGGATCCATTCAGCAATCGTGTTTAGAAGCAATCTAAGGATCTTCGCCATAATCTTCCCCCTTTTTTCTGTTAATCGGGGTGTTGAAGCCAAGAGCCGCTTGTGTATGATTGGGATGACGGGCTGTGCATGTAAGAATGAGGAAGAGCTCACAGGATCAGGCCATTTAGTCCAGAATCCAGTTCTCACAGGGACGCGGGTGGTGCTGTGGGTTAAGCCACAGAGCCTAGGACTTGCCGATCAGAAGGTTGGCGGTTCGAATCCCCGTGACGGGGTGAGCTCCCGTTGCTCGGTCCCTGCTCCTGCCAACCTAGCAGTTCGAAAGAACGTCAAAGTGCAAGTAGATAAATAGGTACTGCTCCAGCGGGAAGGTAAACGGCGTATCCGTGCGCTGCTATGGTTCGCCAGAAGTGGCTCTAAGCTATACGCCGGCTCCCTCGGCCAATAAAGCGAGATGAGCGCCGCAACCCCAGAGTCGGCCACGACTGGACCTAATGGTCAGGGGTCCCTTTACCTTTACCTTTACCAGTTCTCACAGTGGCCAGCTAGATGCCTCTACACTACAGCAAGCCTGGAGGGTGTCAGCATCTTTGGCAAAATGGATGAGACCCTTGAGGGGAATTCGGTGCCCCTGAAAATCTAACCAACCATTTTGTTTTTTAATGTGCCAAGGCCTGGGTTAAGTGAGAGAGCTACTGCCTGCTGGCCGGCATCAAGTCAGCTGCTGTGAGAACAGAATGCTGGACTAGATGGGCTCTTCTGGCAGCAATAAACGAAGTGCCTCTGAGCACGTGCAGGCTGCTTTTCTTCCTCACCACCACCATTCGAGAATAACAGCCTTGCCCTCGCAGGTGCTGCTTTGAATCCCTGCTGGGGAGCTTTCGGTTTCTGAAGCGAGCCTGCATGGGCACGATCCCTTAGCACTTAGGGCGGAGCTCAATTCTACCCGGGTTGCAACGCCAGTTCAGATCACAGCACAGCATCCTTTGCCAGAATCCCAGGCCTGGAGCAGGGGGCTGGGGTAAACCCTGACCCAATTTACATCCAACATGTCCCCGATCTTGGGTATCATTGTGCGCAAATCCCTTCGACCTTCACCAATAGCTCATATTTTTAATCACAATTTAGTCATACTTTTTGTGGAGGGGAACGAGGAGGAGGAGGGCAACGGAGGAAAGCAAACCTTGGGGTCAAGGAAGGCTACGGATCGTGTGGGGCGAAAGTGCCAAGGAGACGCCGGGGCTCAGGACAGCAGCCAACTTCTTCAGCGGTTCTGCCAGGCTGATCTGAGATCTGCGGCTTTGGGGTCTAATTACAGAGCTGCCAGGAACCAGGCTGGCACAGCAGCTGGCAGGCGGTCTTTGTGTCACCCTCCTGAGAGGGGGGACATTTACCCAGCAGGGGGCGCCACACAGAGGCAACAGCCTATTATGCACCCATCTGCAGCCCAGCCTCCTAGCAGATGTTTCCAGGAACAAAGCAAAAAAATTGGGGGTGTCCCCAATTGCCACCTCTCAGGGAAGGAATAGGGAAGGGAGTTGATGAGTTGTTGGGAACTGCAAGAGGGAGAAGGCTGCTGCGTTCAGGTCTTCTGGGCTTCCCGTTGTGGCGCCCGGGGCAGATTGAGTCCTTTAGAGGCCTTGAGCACTTAAAAGATTTTGGTGCCCCCGTATATATCTAATTCAGAATTCATTACGTGCTGAAATAAACTGAAGTCACTACCACGTGAGGAAAAAACCCGCTCAGGCTGTCCTAATAAACTAAACCTAAAATAAACTTACAGTAACTTAATCACACTATTCTGTACACAATAGTCAATTGTCATTCGCTTTTTACATGATGCCTTGGAATCAGTAATAAATAAAACAAAACTCTAGGTCATTCCCTTATCAGTTATCCCAAGCAACGTTTGGTACCTGCGTTGACGATGTGACGAGTTCATAGTGATGCGCGTATCATTTCTTTGCGAGTTGGCACATTGATTGCCTCCAAAATCTATGTGGATATTTTGCTCACTGAGAAAACGGCCAATGAAAAGTTATCTCCGACGGCTGGATTGGAGTGGTTTGTTCCTCTTGATGAGGTGCAAAGGAATGAGAGCGTAAGCATTAGAGCAGAGCTTCCCAAACTTTTCATGTTGTGACACACTTTTTAGACATGCTGCATCATTTTCCGACACAGTAATTCAGTTTTACTAGCAACCCAGAGGTTAAACTAACCCTTTCCCACCCCCGGAAAGAGCACAAGGAGCATTAGTGGGATACACCTACACACTGCAGCCGACAAGCTAATGTGTCGCGACACACAGTTTGAAAAGCTCTGGGTTAGAGGCTGTGATGAATCAAATTCACATGGGATGGCAGGAACCCAGAACAAATGTTTCTGAGCATGTGCAGAGTTCCTTCTGTAACCTTTGCATCTCTAGGACTGGAAGCAGGGAGGTGGAGGGGCACAGTGTCTGTGGCAAAACAGGGGCTCATTTCATTTCACACTTGATGTTTTTATTATGTTTTTAGATATGCTGTAAGCTGTAGGACGCGGGTGACGCTGTGGGTTAAACCACAGAGCTTAGGACTTGCCGATCAGAAGGTTGGCGGTTCGAATCCCCGCGACGGGGTGAGCTCCCGTTGCTCGGTCCCTGCTCCTGCCAACCTAGCAGTTCGAAAGCACATCAAAGTGCAGGTAGATAAATAGGTACCACTCCGGCGGGAAGGTAAATGGCGTTTCCGTGCACTGCTCTGGTTCGCCAGAAGCGGCTTAGTCATGCTGGCCACATGACCAGCTCCCTCGGCCAATAAAGCGAGATGAGCGCCGCAACCCCAGAGTCGGTCATGACTGGACCTAATGGTCAGGGGTCCCTTTACCTTTAAGCTGCCCAGAGTGGCTGTGAAAACCCATCCAGATGGGCAGGGTATGAATAATAAAATTATTTTATTTTTTCTGCCCTTGGATCTCCTAGCTTTTAGGGCTTGCTTGTCCTCTGGCGCCACCTTGTGCTCAGGTATGGCAACACCCCATCTTATGGTTCATCATCTCCTTTGGCCCCAGGGACAAAACTCAGCAAAACTGAAGCATCCAGCCCAGAGCAGGAGGTGGGCTGTTGTTTTTTCCAGCTATGCTTTCAGTAGAGCTTTGACTATATTATTAATCACAGCCATTTATTCAGCACTTTTTTAAGAGGGAGAAGAGAAATAATATACGTGGCGTTTTTGCAGTCCTTGCTTGTGAACATCGTGCAGAGTCGACTTGCCAGGAAGCCGTCTTACACAAAGTGAAGCCATTGGTCTATCTAGCTCTGCAGGATTCTCTCTCCCAATCAGGGATTGAACCTAGGACCTTCTGCATGCAAGCAGATGCTGGGCCACTGAGCTACAGCCCTCTAGTGCCCACCCCACCCAACATTGTTAGCATCCCATTGTACAGATATGGAAACTGAGGCATATGCGACTTGCCCAGGTGATAAGACCACGGCTAGGCAGACTTTGAGCCAAGGTCTCTTCACATCTGGGCCTTTTATCCATTGGATTGTATCCAGATCAGATTGCCAGGGGGCAAAAGGGAAAAGTCTCTCATTGATTATCTTAGCACAAGAAGGGAGTAAAGTACAGGAACGCTGAACAGTCTTCTCTTTTCGAAATGTTCAGAAAGCAGCCAGGCCTGAGTACGTGGCCGTAAACAGGCCGTAAACAGGCACCACGCAGAAACTGAAAGAACTCCACACTCTTTGTTACCTTGTTTTGTTTTTTTTAAAGGGTCCTTTTATTATTTTTAAAAATCCATCCATACCAGAAAATCTTCTGTCTCTGATTTCCCCCTTCTGGGCCATCCGCCGGCTCAGAATTTTCACTCGGAGCGAAAAGGAGTCGTTTCGAAAATAAATAGTAGAAAATACTGGAAAGCTAAACAGATTGAGGCGGCTGCCTGGGGGGGGGGGTGGCGTTGTTGCATGTGCGTCAAAGGGAGCAATAAATTTGTGCCACACAATGCACATATTTGGGAGTCACCCGTTTGCCCACAGCCCCGTCCTGCTTTCCCCCCCGAATGCCCACCTCCCTGCCCCATGCGCAAGCAAGCCACAAGCCACCCGGTCAGACACACATGCTAAGGATCACTCACAATCACCCCTGCGCAAGTCCATGCTCAGAGTCATGCGCAAGGTTCATCTTAAGTGCGCTTCACAACAAGGATGACTGCAACGGGACAGCGCACAGCTGCACAATAAATTGCGTTTGCGCGTCCCTTGGTGTGGGAGCGCTCGATTGCATGCCGCTGTTTCTGTGTGCTTCTCCGACGGCACCATACATTTAAAGCACATTCAATGCACATTTAAAATGTATCCGACTTCCCCCATTGAATCCCAGGAGCTGACAAGCTCCCAGGGTTCTTTTGGGACATGCCATGCCCTTTAAGTGTGCTTTAAACGTGTGGTACGCTCATTGTGCAGACATAAAACCCTGTCACACATCGTTGCATGCACAGCTAATGCAAGTGTGTGGCTACAACAGCATGCACACACACACACACACACACACACACACACACAACACACAGATTTGAATCCACGCATTACATCTCCTTTCCATATTTTACATGCATGCTATGTTCCATTCTGAACATGCACTCTTGTATGATCGCACTGAAATGCGTGCACACACACACACACACACACAGACACAGACACTTTTTATAGTAATAGGACCTGCCTAATATAATGCAGTTTTTAAAAAAAAAAAATCATTAATATAATTATCCCTTTCCAGGCAGTAGGGAAGGTGGACTCTGTAGATTTCCCAGCCTTCCCTTGTGAATATGTTCCAAGGTGCTGCCTCCATCTTCCTTTAAAACTTAGCTTGCCCTTTGCTCTTTGGACTCTCGGAATAAGAAAAACAGAGCACACAAACTGCAGTGGTGGTGTTTCTCCTCTTTGAAGAAAACGGAGGTTCCCAGACGGGGATTTGATCCTGTGACGTTGGGAGGAATTAGCGTGTGGGGAGCGGGAAACTCTTAAAATATGTTATCGACAGGAGGAAGGCCTGAAACTGCGGCTCCCTTTGGAGCAAAAAGCGTCCTTGATACGCACTGTTAGATATCACCCCTTTCCCTAACAATTTCCCTGCAAAACAGGCCAAATCCTCAGAGGGCGCGCAGCGATTCTCTTCCCCGTCACGACATGGCCGCTGCACTTCAGTTCCACTGAGCTGTTTTGCCAGGACTGAGAAAAGGGCTGGGAAGGGATGCTGGGGCTGTTGCTTAGCAACCGCAGCAAGTGCTTCCTTCCCCATTTCCGGAAATTTCTATCCCGCCACGCTAGGCCCACACGCTCTGCTCCCTTTATGTTAGCACATTTCTCCCCACTTCAAAAACCAGCCTGGCAGGCCTGGAATTGTGAGCCACAAAGGAAAACCCTGCTATTGAATGTGAGATTATTTGTGTACAAAAAAAAAAACACCACACGTTTTTCCTTGCTGGAAATGGGCTCAAATGGTTTTGTGGCATCCGCCCGGTTTCCCTATACAAAATTGCATATTTTGTATGTGGCCCTCAGAACAGCCTGCTGGATTGAGCCCAGGGCCGAATCCAGGATCTTGTTCTAGCAGTGACTGGTTAGATGCCCTAAGAGCTCAAAAGTGGGGTGCATGGATCCCCAAAACCCAAATCCGGTGACCCCAATTGCCTCCCCAGGCCCCGCTGCAATGACATCACTGCCCAATGCACCGTCGCTCTGGGGAGAAAATGGAAGCCGTCTTCAATCATCTCTCTCATACACACACACTCTCTGGCTTTTATTATTTTTCCTTTGCCTGGCGGTGGAGGTAAGAACGATGCAGAAAGCACACTTCTCAGAAAGCCCAAGAGCTCCCGGGGTAGCTACACAACAGACTCGACGGGGCTTCGGCGCCACTGGGAACCATGGGAAACTTCAGTTCCCGGGGTTCCCGGGAGGGGAAGGAGCCACGGCAGCCGCAAGACCTGAGAGATGCTTTTGCCGTGGAGATTGTCTCCTCGCCTGGTGGCCTATGTTCTCTTGCGCCACCTGGTGTCGGAAAAGGGGAGTGCCTGTGTTCATGTCGCCCCCTAGTGGAGGGAAAGAGGGGGCAGCCCCTTGGACCACGGCGACCCCTAGTGGCCAAGTTGGTGGGGCAAGAAAGCAACCTGCCCGGTTCCCTCGACCACCCACCCACCCACAGTCCGTCGCGCCAGGAAGGGAGCCGCTCATAGGTAAAAATGTGCCATCGAGGTGGGCTGAGGCGCCGGAGGCTCCGCCCCCTCGCCGCAGTGTCCCCCGGCGTCCCCCAACAGCTTCTGGCAGCGGGCCTTGTAGATGTCCCTCTCGTGAGCCACCCTTGCCACCTCGGCGCGCAGGGACTCCAGCTGCTGCGCCAGCTGGGACTTTTCGGCCTCCAGGACGTGGCGCTGCTGCACCCTCTTGAAGCGACACGACTGGGCGTAGCCGCGGTTCTTGAGCGTGCGCCGTTTCTGCTTCAGCCGCTGAACCTCGTCTTTGCCGAAGCCGCGCAGCTGGCGGTTGAGGTCGCGCACCGACATGGAGACCAGCTGCGCGTCGGAGAAGCGGTCGCAGAGCGTGGACAGCTGTGAAGGAAGGGAGGGAAAGGGAGAAGGAACGCCGGTGAGTAGGAGAGCCGAAAATCCCTCTGGAGAAATTTCCCTCAGGAAATCCCTCGGGTTTTTCCCCCGTGTAACCAACCGGCCTCCCTGGTGGAAGAAAATCTCCACGGCAGAATTATCTGTGAATACTCCTTGCCAACTTTTGTCCCCACCCAGATAGCTCAGTCGGTAGGCAAAACATTCCTGCGTCGTAGGGAGTTGGGCCTGAAGATTCTCAGTGTCCCATTCAGCTCTACAATTGTATGATTTTATGTTATGTTTGTTTATATTTATTTACAGTCATACCTTGGGTTGAAGTCGCTTCAGGTTAAGCCTTTTCAGATTGTGTTCTGCGGCGACCCAGAAGTAACAGAGTGTGTTATTTCTGGGTTTTGCCGCTTGCGCATGCACAGACGCGCAAAATGACATCACGCGCATGCACGGAAGCGGCAAATCGCGACCAGCGGATGCGGGATGCGAACGGGGCTCCGGAACGGATCCCGTTCACCTCCAGAGGTACCACTGTACTTTTCTGGTAGATCTCCACATTGTGGCTCTCAGAGGCATATAAGGGAAGGGTGCTCTGCGCATGCTCAGGAGCTTTCGTCTTTACATCTCCAGCGCTTGGAAAGCGAATAGCAGGCAGTAAAAGTCTTGGGCGTAAAACCCTCTTAACTACAGCTGTGGGAGGGCCCTGCACTTGTTTATTTCCTGGTACGACAACTTGCACATGTTAGAATCCCAGAATTGCAGCGCTGGAAGGCACCCGAGGGTCATCTATTCCAACCCCCTGAAATGCAGCGATCTTTCGCCCAACGTGGGGCTCAAACCCACCACCCTGTGATTAAGACCCTCCTGTTCTAACCGACTGAGCTGTCTCAGGGGACCGTTCTTTGTTGAACTCTGGAATGGAAAAATAGGCCTCTGGCCTGAAAGGACCTTTCCGTCCTTCCTGCCTTTCTCCTATGAACCTCTCGGCAGTTTACAGAGGCCCCCCTTTCTGTCTCCCACTCCCCAAACGCCCATAATTCAACCCACCCACCCGCCAACCTCTTCCCTCTCCCTCTCACCTGCTGCTGTTCCCCACCGGCTCCCTCGATGGCCCCCAAGAAACCTTGGAGCTGTGGGGCCGTTCCGCCGCGAAGACCCCCGTCCATCACCGGGACGCCCAAGAGAGCCTCCACCGCCTCGTCCAGACCCGGCATCAGCTGGGCTTCGGGGCCACCCCCTGCCGCCGCCGCCAGCGTATGGTGGAGCGTGGCCATCCAGTACAACTCTTCGAGGGTGGACTTGGGGTCGCCCGCCTTGTCCAGGGTGGGCGAAGGGGGCACGGAGCTGCAGGGCGTGGAGCTCAGGGAGAAGCTGCCCCCCATGCGAGACACTTCCTGCTTCACCTCGAAGCGCAACAGGTCGATGTCGTCCAGGTAGTCCAGGCTCAGGGGGCTGGGCGGCGGGGCACCCATCCTGCGCAGGTGGGGAGAGGAAAGGGGGAGATTAGACGACTTCCCCCTGAGCTTTCCCCAGGGATGGAGAGCAGACCTTGGAAGCCTGAAGGTCGGCTTAACGGATTAGCTCTCCGTGTCAAAACAAACCCAGCGTCCTGTTCTTCTCTACTTGGTTGACACCATATAACACCGGTCTTGAAAGACCTACGTTGGCTCCCAGTACGTTTCCGAGCACAATTCAAAGTGTTGGTGCTGACCTTGAAAACCCTAAACGGCCTCGGTCCAGTATACCTGAAGGAGCGTCTCCACCCCCATCGTTGAGCCCGGACACTGAGGTCCAGCGCCTAGGGCCTTCTGGCGGTTCCCTCACTGCTAGCAGTGAGGTTACAGGGAACCAGGCAGAGGGCCTTCTCGGTAGTGGCGCCCTCCCTGTGGAACGCCCTCCCACCAGATGTCAAAGAGAACAACAACTACCAAACTTTTAGAAGACATCTGAAGGCAGCTCTGCTTAGGGAAGCTTTTAATGTTTGATGTATTACAGTATTTTAATATTTTTTTTGGGAAGCCACCCAGAGTGGCTGGGGAAGCCCAGCCAGATGGGCGTGGTATAAATAAATTATTATTATTATTATTATTATTATTATTATTATTATTATTATTGGTCCACACCAGCCCCCCAACTGAGGGGCGCCAGCCCCCATGCTTCCTAGTCCCTCTCCGCTGCCTCGCAGCAGAGCAGGGCAACTAGAATATCGGGTGCCAATAAATCCTGCCGTTGGGAGGGGAAAAGTTAACCCAGGCTGGGCTGCTTCAAATTCTGAAACAGAAAGGGAACCCCCCTACCTAGCCAGAGGGTGCTCCTCTCGGACAGTGGTTTTATTTTTATTTTTAGTCATTTATTCAATTCATATACAGTGGTACCTCAGGTTACATACGCTTCAGGTTACATATGCTTCAGGTTACAGACTCCGCTAACCCAGAAATAGTGCTTCAGGTTAAGAACTTTGCTTCAGGATGAGAACAGAAATCGGCTCCAGCGGCGCGGCGGCAGCGGGAGGCCCCATTAGATAAAGTGGTGCTTCAGGTTAAGAACAGTTTCAGGTTATGGACCTCCAGAATGAATTAAGTACTTAACCTGAGGTACCACTGTACCGCCAGATCTCAGGACAGATCTTCGCAACATAAAACGACAACAGCAGGCTATTCATGTTTACATATGTATTAGGATAATAACATCAAATCCGTTCCAGAATGCATGGGAGTACATTACATTGTATTTTTCTCCTACATTGCATATATTCGTATGTTGTTTCTTTCTACGCTTTGTTTTGTTTTTCGTTTCCTTTTCTTAGCATCCCTTTCTTCATAACTGAAACCTTTTCCGTCAAAATATTGATACAAAAAACCCCCACGGAATACATAGTAATAATAAGAAGGATATAAAAACAAGGACGACGGCAAACCAACCGTCCCCTCTCCCACAACAGATTTCAAAGGGTGTCGGATGTCAATCAGCTCAAGGCCTGGGTGAAGAGGACCCTTGTCGCCCGGCACCTAAAGGGGCCTAACAAAGGGCTGCCTCACGGTTAATGCCAGTGTGGTATAGTGGTTAGAGTGCCAGACGAGGACTTGGGAGACCCGAGTTCGAATCTTCACTCGGCCACAAAGCTCACTGGGTGACATGGTTGCTGCGCCCTCAGCCTAAACTAGTTTTCTGAGGAGGGGGAGGACCACGAACCCGGCATCCTTAACAAGAAGGTGGGAGATAAATGCACAAAGCAGAGGCACATGACTTCCTCCCAGTAATTCTGGGAAGTGCACTTTTCCCGTTGCAGAGTTCCAGTTCCTGAACAAACTACTTTTCCCAGGAGTCTCTTGGGGGCAGTTTCTGATGTGCTTTAAATAGTGTGGGTCTGCCCTATACACATTAAGGCCAGCCAACCAGCCAGCCCCTTTCTGATCCTGCCCTGAGCAGCTAGCCTGTCCCTGTTAAGATTATGACCAAGATCTGCAGAAATAAACCTCGCCTTTTCACTCCAAGCACCTCCATTAATCACCCGCTGCAAACAGCTGTTTCCTGTTGAACTTCTGGTCGCCCCACCCTGCCTGCCTAGGACATCTCCTGCCTCTCTTGCTGGAGGGAGTGCAAGGTTGCGGGTATCACTGGGCGCCGTCGCAGAGTGTTTATGGCGAAGTTAGAAGTCGGGGGCTTCTGATCAACCTGGAGCAGCTATAAAAAGCAGCAATTCTCTCTCTCCCTTCACCCCATTCCTGGCCAGCCTGTCTTCTTCCCCTCTCTTAAGAGCAGACCAAAGACTCTGGTCTCCGGCAGCGCACTAACCACTATACCGCGCTGCCTGAAAACGCCGTCGGGTTCTGTCGGTTCTGGTTTGATCGCAGCAGAAAACCCTTCCTGGGTCCCTCGAGTTTGGTTTTCATATCCCTCACTTTCAGAGACACGCAATGCTTCCTGGTCCCATTCACTCTGACTGGTTTTGCAGACTCCTGCCCTTTCTGTGTCCCGTCCTTAAATAAGACCCACATTCAAAGCTGCTGTCCTAAACCCACTCGCTTAGGAGTGAGCCCCCCCCAAGCTAAAAGGGACCTACCTCTGAAGAAACAAGCCCAACAGGAGAGAAGAGGGGAGCCCATATCATCCCTGCGTCCGGATCTAGGGCAACGTCCCCGCAACCTGGTTCCCGCCGGGAGTTGTAGTACGAAACATCTGGAGGGAGCCAGGTTGTGGGGCCGTGGGAGGTCTGTTCTAGATGAATCCCTTTCTTTCATTAGCCTTCCAGGCGAAAGCAGAAATGCTCAAGGAAAGTGATTTAGGGGAGAGAGAAAAAACAAACGAAAGCGAGGAGAGAGACCACAAGTTGTTCACCGCTCTTCCCAAACGCCCCACACACAGACACAAACCCTCAAACGCCTCTCCAAGGTTGTTTTGCTGTGGATCTCCAGGAGAAAGGAAGAGAAAAGGGGGAAAACAGCACCCAATAGGTTTGAGGCACCTTGGGGTGGGGGAAAAGACCCCCCCACACACACACACACCAGGAATGAACCCTGGCCTAGCCTGCAACCTCCCTGCCCACCTGTTTGTTTGGGAGTCCATCTGCCTCCTCCTCGCAGCTCCTGCGGTCCAGCTGTTGACCTTCCTGGCCCCTGCCCTCTGCTGCCAGGGGAGGGTGGCAGTCGCCCAGCCCAAGAGACCAGAGCCCGGACTCCGGGGTCCCATTTAAAGCTCCGGGAAGGCTGAGCTCACAGGGACGCATTAGCCACCGGCCAATGGAGAAGGGACCTTGGACCTCATTAGCATGCCGGGGGAAAGGGGGCAGGCCCAGGACCTTTTTGCCTCCGCACCCCCCAGCCCAGAGGCCTCTTCCCACTTCTGTGGGAGTTGCTCGAGGGTGTCCCTGAACCCTCCGCGCCAAGGAAGGCCAGTTTCGTTCTGCTCAGCACTTCCTCATCTGGAGAGGAGAAGAAAAAAGCGCAGAGGCCAAGTTGTTGTTGTTCTTCTTCGCTCCTCCAGCCTCCCGGCTGCGGTTGTGCAGCCAGTCACACAATCGCCGGAGAGGCCTGAGTCACAGTTTCCAGGCAGAAAAGCTGGGAAGGGCTGTGGCCCCTCCAGAGCGATGTTTCTGCAACATTCGTCCCTTTTGCCACGTTCATTATTTCACCCTTTTCTCAAGGTGCCATAAAGGGTAAAAAGGGTAAAGGGACCCCTGACCATTAGGTCCTGTTGTGGCCGACTCTGGGGTTGCTCATCTCGCTTTATTGGCCAAGGGAGCCGGCGTACAGCTTCCGGGTCATGTGGCCTGCATGACTAAGCCGCTTCTGGCGAACCAGAGCGGCGCACGGAAACGCCGTTTACCTTCTCGCCGGAGAGGTACCTATTTATCTACTTGCACTTTGACGTGCATTCAAACTGCTAAGTTGGCAGGAGCTGGGACAGAGCAACGGGAGCTCACCCCGTCACGGGGATTCGAACCACCGACCTTCTGATCGGCAAGTCCTAGGCTCTGTGGTTTAACCCACAGCGCCACCCGCGTCCTCCCGCGTCCTCCCTCAATTTATTAAGCTGAGATTAAGCTGAGAAGCAAAGACTCAAGGTCGCCCAGCAAGCTTTGTGGCCAAATGGGGAGCCCCACACTCTCGCCGCTGCCCCACACTGGCTTTCGGGGCACGAGAATAGCACATCGGGTCACAAGATTCTGCGAGGAATCTTGGGAACTGTAGTTTCTTGAAGATGCCACGGTTTGTAGCACTGTGAGCGGGTAAACTATAATTTCTTTGTGGGAAGGTGTGACTTTCAAAGTGATGCGCGGTGCCGACACAATCTTTGCGGTGGAGTCACGCCACTTCAGTTGGTTCTGTAACACGATGGAAGCGGGGCCAAAATAAAACTGGAAGATTTGAGGCAGAATGGCGGGATTTCGACAGAAAGCTGCAGGGTGCTCACCAGATATGAATGAAGCAGTGTGGCCGCACCAATGGTTTTTCAGGGGCAAACAGGATTGCTTGTGGCCTTCCTGATTGAGCCCCGAGTGCGGATCATGACGAATGTGCAATGAAAAGGAACGTTTTTCAGGGAGGAAATCTAGAAAGGGAGAGAGCAGGGTGTGACGGAAAGCTGTCCTGGTGGGGGCAGCTGAGATGGGACTGTGCGCGGTTGTGCCGCTTAGCTCAGGTGCAGGGCTAATAACGCCAAGGCTGTGGGTTCGAATCCCCGTAGGAGCCAAGAAAACCTCTTAGCTCAGCGGTAGAGGACAGTATCTGCTTTGAAGAACATTGGGGAGATTGTTCTGAGGCCACATATAAAGGCAAGGCTAAGAGAGACCCCTGCCTGGATCCCTAGAAAGCCACTGCCAGCCAGTGTAGGAAGTATTAAGCTAAATGGGCCATTAATCTGGCTTGGCATAAGGCAGCCTTCTGGGGTCCCTCTGCCCCCCACTTTCCCAGTTCCCAGTCCTGGCTGAACCCTTCAGCCCTTCAGTCACAGCCTTCGCTTCAGGCCCTGCTGTCAACGACAAAACGGTGGCAGCTACGAAACAAGTCATAATGAGCACCTCTGAGCATATGCAGAGGGTGTTTCTGTCCCTAACCACAGTTCGCCTCGTACATGCCTGGAGCTAGAAGGAGGGAATCGGAGCCGGGTCGCTCTCCGGGACCATTTAAAATATAGAAAGCTGCCTCCTGTTTTGCATGGAGGAGAAGCACTCTGCACATGCTCAGAGACAAGGCCGTTTTTGTAAGCAGAAGCCGTCTCCCTCCAGGAAGGAGGGAGACCTCTTGCCCTTTCACCCTTTTTATTTTCATCCAAGGTTCTTCCCCCCTGGGGGGAAAGGCACTCTGCGTACGTTCAGAGTCATGGTCAGGGAGAATTGCCAGAACTTTCAAAAGCAAACTTTCTCTCTCGGGTGACTCAGCTGAGTCCATTTTGATGCAGAGCGGGCTGGGGGGGTGCACACAGAAAACGGGCAAAACCTCACTTTGGCGCATTAAAAGGCCCTCGTTCGTGGGGCAGGCTTGGGGCAGCTGGGGGGCTGGCCGGGGGGGACGACATGTTGTCCAAGCCCAAGCCTGTGGCCCGGTTGCCATGGCTTCTGCCCCGGCCTACGCTTTCCTAATACCCAGCGGTTGCTAGGACAAAGGGGCCGGGGAGCGTTGCTAACCCTTTGTGACAGGGGATTCTCGGCCTATTCAGGGTGACGTCACCCTGTCATCAGGCCTCACCCCACCGCTGGCCCGGACGCTGCCAACCCTGGCGTGACCTCCCCACCTGACCGGGCCCTGTTGTTAAGCCGTAAAGTGGGGGTAAAGCGGGGGGGGAGAGCCTCCCCTGGCAAAATAACAGGCCCTTGTCCTGTTAGCCCCTGCCGGTCCCCTCCGTCCGCTACCCAGGGCTCAAACAAACAAACCCAAAAAGTTTGGGAGGTTGTGCACAAAACGCGCTATTTCTTCTTCTTGCTCTGTGTTGATTCATCTGAGTGGACCGCCTTGCAGGGGGTGTTAATGGGCTCGATTCTGAATCCTCTGCTGCCTTGTGGGAGCAGAAAAGGCTCAGGAGCGAACCCGGCACAAACATACCCTCCGACATTTCTCCGATGGAAATAGGGACGTCACGTTCCATCGTTATCGTTTTACTATTTCTACCCCAAGTGTTTTATTGGGTTGCCCCAGCACTCCGACATATATAAGAAACAGAATAAAACATTAAACATTTTTAAAAAGACGCGACGCCTGCTTCTTGGGAGAAAAGCAATGACAAACCTAGACAGCATCTTAAAAAGCAGAGATATCACCTTGCCAACAAAGGTCCGTATAGTTAAAGCTATGGTTTTCCCAATAGTGATGTATGGAAGTGAGAGTTGGACCATAAAGAAGGCTGATCGCTGAAGAATGGATGCTTTTGAATTCTGGTGCTGGAGGAGACTCTTGAGAGTCCCATGGACTGCAAGAAGATCAAACCTCTCCATTCTGAAGGAAATCAGCCCTGAGTGCTCACTGGAAGGACAAATCCTGAAGCTGAGGCTCCAATACTTTGGCCACCTCATGAGAAGAGAAGACTCCCTGGAAAAGACCCTGATGTTGGGAAAGATTGAGGGCCCAAGGAGAAGGGGACGACAGAGGACAAGATGGTTGGATAGTGTTCTCGAAGCTACCAGCATGAGTTTGCCCAAACTGCGGGAGGCAGTGGAAGACAGGAGGGCCTGGCGTGCTCTGGTCCAGGGGGTCACGAAGAGTCGGACACGACTAAACAACAACAACATGCGATGGCTCAGGAGTTGGATAACTCCCTACCCTCCAATGAAAATAGGGACATCCTAAGGAAAAGTGGGACATTCCAGGATCAAATCAGAAACCGGGACGGCTTCTCTAAATCAGGGACGTCCCTGGAAAATAGGGACATTTAGAGGGTCTGCACAAACCAGAAGTGGAGTCCCTAAGGGGGTTGGACGGCTCCTTGTACTCCTCCTTCTGGCAACTTCCACAGCCAAGATGGTGCCAAATATCTTGCTCTGTTTTCCTTTGGGAAGCATGTCCTGTCGTCTGGGCAGCCCAGGACCTCCAGACACACTGCCCAGGGCGGTCACTTTGGTGCCACTAAGACAGCGGTTTGGCTTCACCCCCGGAGGCGCACTCCATTGTCTCTCGAGACAGACAGATGCTGACAAGGTGGTCCTTGTGGAACGGAGGAAAACTCTGGTCCAGAAGACTGAAGGAGGCCTTAATGCCTGCCTTGAGGGCAGATGTGACTGAAGATGTTTTCTTGTCTCCAGTGACAGGATCAGGCCAGTGGTCCATCTTAGCCAAGCGTCCTGTTCTCACAGTGGCTACTCTGGTGCTACGGAAAGAGGCAGTGCCGGATTTACGTATAAGCTAAACAAGCTATAGCTTAGGGCCCCACTCTCTTGGGGGCCCCCCAAAAAAATTAAAGGTGGGAAAACTGGGTGTACATTTTCAAAATATAAGATAAAAAACAGATAAAATAAAACTTATATACAGCAACAGTGTTTTGTGTTGTGTAGGCTCCTATGATGTGAGCTAGCTTGCTCCTTAAAATATCACTGGTTTGCTCCTTTCTATATACAGTGGTACCTCGGGTTACATACGCTTCAGGTTACACACTCCGCTAACCCAGAAATAGTGCTTCAGGTTAAGAACTTTGCTTCAGGATAAGAACAGAAAAGAATTGATGCTTTTGAATTATGGTGCTGGAGAAGACTCTTGAGAGTCCCATGGACGGCAAGAAGATCAAATGCATCCATTCTGAAGGAAATCAGACCTGAGTGCTCACTGGAAGGACAGATCGTGAAGCTGAGGCTCCAGTACTTTGGCCACCTCATGAGAAAAGAAGACTCCCTGGAGAAGACACTGATGCTGGGAAAGATGGAGGGCACAAGGAGAAGGGGGCGACAGAGGACGAGATGGTTGGATAGTGTTTTCGAGGTTACCAGCATGAGGTTGACCAAACTGCGGGAGGTAGTGGAGGACAGAGGTGCCTGGCGTGCTCTGGTCCAGGGGGTCACGAAGAGTCGGACACGACTAAACGACTAAACAACAACAACAACAACAAGAACAGAAATCGTGCTCCGGTGGCGCGGCGGCAGCGGGAGGCCCCATTAGCTAAAGTGGTGCTTCAGGTTAAGAACAGTTTCAGGTTAAGAACGGACCTCCGGAACGAATTAAGTACTTAACCCGAGGTATCACTGTATAGGGTGCCTACATTCTGCACGGACTGGTTATATGGCAACATGGGCAAATGGCTTCAGAGAATAAT